GAGTGAGACACAACAGAGAAATTTATTTGTTAGTCTTGTTTGTATCACTGTTGTCTAGTTTGTGCTCAAATCAATTCATAGTGTTGTGCCCACCAAAAATGGGGACAGCTCTTTGACATCTGAATTGGTAAATTTTGGGGCTTCTGTATTTATTCTGAAATTTTAAAATTAAAGCAGTAAGCTTTGTTTCTGTATGATTAAAACTCAAAAAAGTCCTTATATCTTATATGAATGTGTAATAATCTAGGTAATATGAATAATTTAGATTATGAAATCTCCTAAATTAAGAATCTATTCTGGTTCATTTATGAAATAAGTGCTTATTTAAATATAATACTCCTATAATCCTAGAAGACAAAGAATTTGGATGTGCTAGATTAAAAAAATATTCTTAAAGCAACTAATTCAGAAACATTTTAAGAAACAAGATTTACATAATTTAGGGAAAGTTTTGGCAAAGTAGATTATTGGAATAATTTGGTGTAATAAAAATAGCTGTTTTTCTTCTATTTACTCTTTATAATATATGTATATATATTGTTGTTCATATAAGAGGAACCATGCCATATTTGAGCTTGTGTGTCTGACTTATTTCATTTAACATTATGTTTTCAAGTTGTATTCATTTACCTATGAATACCACAAGTTTATATTTCTTTAGGGCAGTGTAGTATTTCATTGTGTATAAATACCACATTTTACTTATCCATTCATCTGATAAAATTAGGAAGTAGAGAGATATTCAAGTACTTCCCCAAATTTCAAATTCCATTGTTTTAAAAATGTTTCAATATATATGCTAATTGGTTTCATTTATACTACTAGTTTATCTTAGTTCATTGAAAAGGCAGTTTTGTGTTGTTATGTGTTGATTTATATCTTGTACTCTAAGTAACTACTTTGAAGATAACGACAAACCGTATAATAAGTATTGTTATTCTCTCATTATTTAATTATGAAATCTTGTTTTATCTTTTTATAAAAGAAAAAAGAAAAAAACAACTGTGTCTGATTTATCAGTGTTGTATAAATACCAAATTTGTGCATTTTTATTGTACTTGGGTAGGTTTTTTTACAAAATGTATAAAGGTTTGCTAATCAAATAAACTACCATTACTTCTACTGGTACTTGCTTATGAAAAATGTAAATTAGTATATGATCAAATTAAACTCTTATTCTGATGAACATTTAAAAATTTTAGTAATTATGTTCAGTAGTGTGTCATATTGAAGATAAATGTTCAAGACCAAGATAATTTTAAATCTTGGATTAGTATTTTTTTTTTAAGAGTAGGAAAGGTTTATTGGAGAATAGGAATAGCTCCTGAGAGACAGGAGAGGTCCTGAGTGGGTTGCCACAGAGATAATGTGTCCAAAAATATTTTATATGGCAAAAATCACAAGATGAGTACAATATGGGTCAAACTATAATCAACCAATAAGATTACAAATATAGCTGGTTAGTTAATATTAATCCAATAGGGAAGCAGGGCATGTAGCAAGGGCACATGGGTGACATCATTTCTTGGATTAGTATTAAATTGAGCCAATTAATGGCTACATCAATACAGTAATTACAATACAGACTATTAAGATAAAATACAGTAAGATACAATACAGAATATTATTAAGCATATTTATTTTTGCTTTTTAATTTTTGTATGCTGTAGATAGGCAATCTTTGAGTCATGTTTATTAACACACTTATTTCTGCCACCTTATGAAGTTGTATAAGGGATATTAGTTACTTTAGAAAAGTTTTTTTGATTTGTATTCATGACCTGTACTAGTCTGATAAAATGCTGGGGTATGACAGGTTGGAATTATTCTCTCCACAAAATTTTCTCTGTAAAATAGAAATTCAGTTAAAAGTTATGATCATTACAAATGGTTAAAATTAGGCTTAGAAAAAATAGTTTCAGAGAAATATAGCTGCTTATGTACTTCAAGTTTTTAAGGTAAAAGGAGTAGTTTTGTCCTAAAGCAGCCACATGGAATCTTTCTTTTGCTTTATTTTCTTTTAATTTCCCTAGCACCTGTACTGCTTTTTTCATTACTAATGCTGGTAGTTTGTATTTTCTCTTTTCTGTTTTGTTTTGTTTTTCCCTTTGGTTTCTATATCTGGCTAAATTTTATTAATTTTATTGCATATTTAAAAACCTAACTTTTAGGGTTTTTTTCATTTTTATTGCTTGGTCATCTTCTATGCATTGATTTCTGTTCTTTTCCTTTTGTTCTGTTATTTTAGATTTAATTTGTTCTTTTGTCTTTAGTTCTTATAATAGAAGTTTAGATTGTTAATTTTAGACCTTTTTTGTTTTCTAAATACAAACATTTAAAGCCATGCATTTGCTTCTGGGCACTATTTTAGCTGCTTCTCACAAATTTTAATGTTCTGTGTTTATATTCATTTAAAATATTTATTTTTCTTTTCTTTATCACATGAGTTATTTGGATGTTTATTTAAAGTTTCAATGTTTGGGGGTTTTTCTAGGTATGTTTGTTTTCTTTTTAATTGAATTATCTTTTGGTATTATTTCAGTGATTTTGAATTTATTGAGACTTGTTTTATGGCCCCGGATATGGTATACTTTAATAAATGTACAGTGTGCACAGGAAAAGAATATACATTTGATTGGCTGGACTGTTGTATAAATGTTAATAGGTCAGATTAGCTGATAATGTTTGAATCATGCATATACTTACTGACTTTCTGTATTTCTATTAGTTGTTGAGAGATGATTATTGAAATCTCCAAATATAATTGTATGGTTCTTGATCTAACCCTTTGTTTTGACCATTTTTGCTTTGTGTATTTTGAAGCTCTGATGTTGGATGCATATACATTTAGGGTTGCTAAGTCTTCTTGGTGAATTGATCTCATTATCATGATAAAATATTCCTCAGCAATCACAGCTAACAAGATTAAGTGAATTTTTGATGGTATAAAGACAGATTTTAAGTAGAAATACAGCTTGTGTTGTGTAAAGCCACCATTCCCTTATCTCATTTCACTTTTTTCTATGGCAGCTATGTCTACTGCATATACATTTATTTGTTTGTTTTCTGTTCTTCCTACTAGAATAAAATTTCCAAAGAGCAAGACTTCATCTGTGTTGTTCATGGGCTGTATCTCAGACACCTACAAAGCCTGTAATGAAGTCTTACTTTGGTGCTTTCTGACTGAATTAATGTGTAGTACTCACACAGCTGTAAGTACATAACTCTATCACACTTCTCCCATGAAAACATGGCCTGTGCTCAAGTGGGGACCATTTCAGAAATGAAGTGTACACCTCAGTGTGTTTTACTCATGCTCTTCAGCACAAGCAGTACTGTAAACCTGTGTTGCTTTGGTATCTGAGGGCCTCAGGAAGATGTTAGATAATTCAGTTTTAACTTTTTTTTTTTTTTTTAGTCTTAGCCACCTCTATGCTAGGTAGGATTTGTTTCTGAATCATTCCAGAACAGTGGGTCTGAATGACAAACATAGGCTGTGGTCTCACACCTTGAGCCCACATTATGAGTCCTCATTCTCTTTCCTCAGGAAACCATTTAAGATTTTTGTATCAGTTGACCTTTGTGTACCAGTCTCACTGCTTCTAAGACTAGCTCTATGTGGTCCTGGATTGTAAGGCAATTTAGGAGTTAGTTTCTTATTTTTAAATTTAAAAATTTATTTTTTTATTTTTTATTTTTTTAGGAGTTAGTTTCTAATGCCACTACCCCCAGGAAATAAAGAATTTACATTTCACATCTCCTTAACCTGCACTTTCATATCCCCCACCAACTGTTCATTCTCACAGCTATTTTTGTTCCCAGAAAACTTGAAAATTTCAGTTTTATCAGAATACTGTTTCTGTGGCAGCATTTGATAATGTTAAGAACAAATGAAACATTTACCAATCAAATCTTTGTCTCTGATTTATTTCTAAAATGAAAAAAATTATTTCTTTTGAACTAATTGTGTATTGAGTTCAAATCTCAGTTCTAGTACTTGGACAACTCACATCCTCTTGTGAAATAAATTAAGTAATAAACATCTGTGAGGGCATCTGTGAGAAATGCTTGGGAAAGTGCCTTGTGCATTGTAAAGCATGGTAGGTATATAACTTGCTTTTGTTCTGAGAAGCTTTTCATCTATGAAGTTTGTAGTAATTGGATTTAAATACTCAATTCAAGAAGAGCGTTTAGGTGTTTGCTTCAGATACCTTCACTATATCCTAACTAGCACTTAACTGCAATTCTTAAGAATACAAGCCAATAGCCATTAGCTGTTACCTTGGAAATTCTGATCATTTAAAAATAATACTACTGGGGGCCGGGGATTTAGCTCAGTGGTTCTGCTGCCTGCCTCGAAAGCATAAGGCTCTGAGTTCAATCCCTGGTACCAAAAAAAAAAAAAAAATTACTGGAAAGGAGACAATGTAACTGAGAAAAAGCATACTTGGGACAATCTTTTTTTTTTTTTTTTTTTCCAGGAGAAATAGTTTTATTTGCACTGAAAGCTGGAGCATGAGTAGGTCCTGAGATAGTATACTGAGCTAACAATAGAGATCAGCTTGTAAAAGGGCAGTTAGGTTCATCAACCAAACAGACTACTGTATTTCCAAGCAGCCTTATAGTTATACAATCAATAAAAGACCTGCTGGGAGCTGGGCGTGGTGATGCACAACTGTGATCCCAGCACTTAGGAGGCTGGCAAATATATTTGTCACTGAGTCACCCCAGTGTGCCATCATTACAAAAAAAGTACAGGTTTTCCATAGTCATGAAATTTCCCCCAAACCCCCCAACTGTAAGTATTACAAAAGAAAGTGCAAAAATGATCACATTTTACAGATCGTAAGCTTATTTTCAGCATTTAGCTCAGCTATGGATCTATCAAGCAGTGAGAGAATGGTCTTTGCTATCCCAGGGCAGTCCTCTTCCCATGTTCCTAGGGGGCAGGGCAAGGTGGGGGCACAAGGGCTAATCTCCCCCAGTTCTATGCACAGCAGCTGAAGCTTGATGGGAGAGCAGGACTGGTGAGACTCGAGGGGAGGGTCCAGGCCCTGTGTTCAGTCAGAGTCACTGCTGGAAGAGGAGGAAGAGGAGGAATGCTTGCCATGCTTGCCATGCTTGCCATGCTTGTGGTGTTTGTGTGCCTTTTTATGAGATTTCTTCATTTTCTTCCGCATCTTCTTATCCATCACCATCCCTGGGCACACCATGCCAGGGGCCAAAGGATTCACAGGAGGCATGCCAGGGCATGGAGGAGGATAGGGACCTGAGGGTTGGGGTCTTGGACACCCCAGCAGGGGCACAGGATAACCAGACCCACATGGAGGGAAAGCTGGATTCCCCGGGGGAGCTCCTGGGGGTGGGGGGCAGGAGCCAGGAGGAAAGGCTAGATTGGCAGGTGGTGCATGTGGTGGACACACAGGATAGGCACCTCCAGGGCACCCAGGGTTGGATGGACATGGGTTTGGCCCTTGATACCAGCACTGGGATTCCACATGTTCAGATGTTTCCCCTAGCCTGGAAAGGAAGAAATTGTTAAACATGTTTCTTAATGATTTTTTTAAACCCAAAAGCTATGTTCATTTGGGTCATCCTTGTTAAACACATGATGAAAATTAGATAAGATCTGCTGTAACTTTGAGGAAGACTTGACTGTCTTACAACCTGTACCTTTTATTAGCCTGTTGGCCTTTATTATTGGCTAGGGTCACTATCAACGGGCTCAAACTGTATTCTTGGTCAACTATAAGGCTTTTAAGGTAATCATTTAGAAGTTTTGAGGGAAAAACCAAACAAAACAAACTCAGTATTTAAGTAGTGTTTGTGCTAGAAACTCCACCATCCTTGTGATAATGTATAATTCTGATTCAAGCTAAGTTTATGAACTCCTTATTTTCTGTGTCCTTCATTGGCTGTTCATTGTCTGTGACTTGTAACTGTTGAGGCCCCACCCTAATCACATCACACCTGGAAAGCCTAGAGAGCTAGAAAGTCTAGCTTCTTTCTTCTGGCTCTAATCTCTTTTGCTATAGTTGACTGTCATTTGCACAAACACCATTTTCACTGTATAGCATACCTACTCAAGAAATAGTTGTGATTCTCTGCTCCTACGTCAGAAACAAACAACAATAATTGAATATCCCATTTTAGAATTTTATGTTTTTTTGTGAACTGTGCTCCTCAGGACTCCAAAGTATTGTTTGCAGTCCATTATTTTTTTTCCCATGGGTCACTTTTATTAAGAGCATCATTACTACAGTTGGCAGCAATTTACATTTTATCTTACATGATAGCAGTTTTCAACGAAAAAATAAAAGAACATCACAATGAAGAAAAACAATACATTTACAAAGTCATGTCTGTAAACTTCAAGGCTAGTTTAGAGCTGAGGTAATGGTATTTTAACTTTGTGGCTAAAGTAACAAAGTCCTTTAATTTTAAAAAAGTACCCGCTTCTCACTTCTCTCACTATTTATTCTTCTATTTATTTTGTCTATACCAGTGCATTACAAGACCATGAGACAATGGAACTGTAGTTCTGTCTGGCAACAACCCTTGCAGTCCATTTTTTAGACACAATTTCTTTATCTTGCCTTTGGTTCTTGAAATATTTTTATTACAACTTAATGACATAGAACTTACTTGTTCTTTTTTTTTTTTTTTTGGTACCGGGGATCGAACTCCGGTCCTTGCACTTGTGGGTCAGGTGATGAAACCACTGAGCTAAATCCCTAGCCCAGAACTTACTTTTTAAAGGAGGATCTTGCTATGTTGACTACATTATTATAAATTCTTTCTCACAGGCAAGGGCTAGAGAGGAAAGCAAATAGACTCGGAATAATTAAAGGAAGATTTTTCTTCTGCTTAATCACAGAGTTAAACTTCCTTTTGGTTATTTCCTTAGATTAAGTTTGATTTCTCTTTTTCAATAAATTTTGACCCTGAACTTGTAAAGGTAATGGACCACCTTTTAATGTATTTTCTTTTGGTAAAATTCCTTAAAACTTAGATGGCCAAAATTTTAAGTCAATATAGAGATTATTTTGAAAAACTTTAAAAAAATTTCCTGTCCTGAGCACTTCTTATTTAAATTGAACCTACTAAGGACAAAGCTTTGACATGTCTTGAAGTTTAGAAAAATTATCCAGAAATTTGGGAGAGACTGTTGATCACTATTAAAACAGGTGTTTGGTTCTTCTTGTTCTAGTCCCTCAATATCTCTAGTAGCCATGGAAAAGTTCAATAATTGATAAATAAGTAATTAATAAATCAACATGTATTTCTTTTCAGGGCACTTTTTGAGGTGGACTGCTATTTGTTACTCAGAGAAAGACTTGTAATTCTCAACCAGAGTCTCCTCCAAAACTCAGCTGTTGAAATTTAGTGCCAGTGTGATGATATTAACAAGTAGGGTTTTTAAGAAGTGATTAAGTTAGGAGGGCTCCTCCCCTTATGAATGGGATTTTTTTTTAAATTTTTAAAATTAATTTTATTGGTATACTTTTGATATATGTAATGGTCACATTCATCATAAGGAATTTGTACCTGAAGATAATATATCTTGATTCCTCTTTCTTCCCCATTCCCCTACCTTCCTTTCCCCCTCCCCTCCTTTATTCCTTTTCTGATTTGAACACTTTCTTCCTAATTCCCAATATCTATCATTCATTTTGGTTCTTATTTACCCTTTCAGTTTCTCATACAAAAGAAACAATGTGACACTTAACCATGTGTGTCCAATTTATTTCACTTAAAATTAGGGTCTCAGATGCATTCATTTATCTAAAAATGTCTCAAGTGTATCTTTCCTTAGGGTAGAGTAGTACTCCATTGTATATAAAAACCACATTTTCTTTATTCATTTATCCATTGATGGACATCTGAGCTGTTTCCAAGCCTTAGCCATTACCAATTGTGTGACTATAAACATGGGTGTGCACAGATCACTGTGGTATGATGCTTTTAACTCTTTTGGGAAGATACCCAGAAGGAGAATAGGTGGGTCAAATGGAACCTCTAGTTTTAGTTTTTTGAGGATGTTCCATACTGATTTCCATATTGGTCGTACCAATTTACACTCCCACCAACAGTGGAGAAGGGTTCCTTTTCCTCCACAGCCTCACCAGTGTTTGTTACTGGTTTATTTCTTCATGATAACCATTCTTTCCAGAATGGGATGGAATCTCAGTGTTGTTTTAATTTGCATTTCTCAAATGACCAATGATATTGAACATTTTTTAATATATTTATTTGCTGTTTGTACTTCTTCATCTGAGAACTGTCTATTCATTTCAGATGCCCATTTTTGGATTGGGTCTTTAAGTTTGGGGGTCTGATTTTTTTGAGTTCTTTATATATTCTAGCTTGTAGTCCTTTGTTTGAGGAATAGCTGGTAAAATTTTTTTTTCCATTTTGAGTTGTTTTTTCACTCTCTTGGTGTTTTCTCTTGCTATGCAAAAGCTTTTTAATATGATGAGATCCCAGTTGTTGATTCTTTGTAATATTTCCTCTGGGTTTGGATTTTGTTCATAAAGATTTTTGCCTACACCTTTGTCTTCAAGAGTTTTACCTATTTTATCTTCCAGCAGATTAAATTTTTCTGTTTAAGTATTTAGATTTTTGATTTTAGTTTAATGCATGGTGAGAGATATGGGTCTAGTTTTAATCTTCGGCATGTGGAAAGCCAGTTTTCCTAGCACTATTTATTAGAGAGGCTATGTTTCTTCCAGTGAACTGTTTGGTCCCCTTGTCAAAGATGAGGTGAGTGAGTGTGATTGGATTTGTTTCTGCATCTTCTATTCTGTTCCACTGATCCTCTGGGATTAAGTGTTCTTGTAAAAGGACTTTATGGAGGGAATTCCTTTTTTGTCTTTCTGCCTTCTTCCATTTGAGGACACAATGTTCCTTCCCTTTAGAGGACGTAGCATTCAAGATGCCATTGTGGAAGCAGAGACCAGATCCTCAGCAAAAAACTGAACCCAACAGTACCATGATCTTATACTTCCCAAGCCCCAGAACAGTGAGAAAATTAATTTCTGTTTTTTTAAAATTATCTAGTCTCAGGTATTTTATTATAGTAGCACAAAATGGACTAAGACAATAGCATAATAGTCCTAAGGGATACTCCTCTTCCTAATATAGCAACAGAGTAATATAGTAATATGGTACTGAATCAGTTGATCTTAAGTTACAGTATCTCTCCCTTTTCTCTGAGTAAGGTAGGGAGTACATGAATTGAGTAAATTCCTTGGGTGATTGTGAAACTCTCACCCATTCTTCTTTGGGAGTCAGAGCTTTAAAATCTCCCAGTTTTTCTTTTTTAATATAATAAAAATTTATTGTCTTGATTTATCAGTTTCTGAAAGATTTATAGTAAAATTTACCTTTTTATTTATGGTCCTAGAAAAGTTTTCATTGTGATTCCATCACTTTTGCTTTATATTATGAGGTAATTATAAGTTCAAGATTGTGATATCTTTTTGAGGTGTTTCTTTGTATGTAGTATACTTCTTTCTCCCTATTAATGATGTTTTATGTATTTTTATATTCTCTAAGAGTAATATTTCTAAATATGTTTTCTTTTGGTTTATTTGTTTGGCATATTTTTATCTCTTTATTTGCAAATCTTTGGTGTGATTTTTCAAAGATATGTTTCTTATAAGTAGCACTATTGGGATCTTAAAAATCAACTCAGTATTTTACTCCATTTTTTTTGTATTGAATTCTTTTATTGGTACATTGTAGGTATACAACACAATTACATTTCTCATTGGGAATTGTACCTTTA